CCGCCTACTGTGTCCACACCAGGTGCCCTGGTTGAATACCTCTACACACTTCGACGGAGGTTCCTTCTGGTTCTTGTGGAATACCTGAGACGATTACAACTGATCAATATTTGTTTTACAGCTCAGCTGGAAGCAGTGTGAGTGTGCGGCGGAAGCTTATTAAGGATGTTCTTTATAGAGGCGGAGTTATTGCGCAATCTGGGTTCTGTGTATGCATTAAGGTATGAAGTGTGGTGGCTTCATGCTCAACGAGTATGTATAACTATGTGCGCAATTTGTGCACCCTTTAATGTGTTCATTGTGTCTGTCTACGTATAGTTGGTGAAGCTATGGTGTAAATTTTGGCGTGAAGCTATTGTCTCTCATGCTAGTGTGTAGCTGTGTATTTTATTTTATATGAGAAGTTTTTTTATAGCTGATGCGTTTTATTTTTGAGTGAGAAGCTATGGGGTGTGTTTCATTTTGTGAGACTATTATGTAGCTAGCTGGTATGTGTTTTATTTTGTATTTCAGAAGCTGTTGTGTAGCTGGCATGTGTTTTATTTTGTTAAGAAGCTATTGTGTTGTGAGAAGCTATTGTGTAGCTGGCATGTATTTCATTTTGTGTAAGAATTGCTGGCATTGTTTCATTTTGTGTAAGACGCCATTGTGTAGCTGGCATGTGTTTCATTTTGTGTAAGAAGCTATTGTGTAACTGGTATTATGTAGCTGATATGTAGCTTTGCGTTTCATTTTGTGTGAGAGCTATTGTGTAGCTTATATGGTCCATTTTGTGTGAGAAGCTATTGTGTAGCTGGTATGTGTTTTATTTTGTGTAAGAAGCTATTATGTAACTGGCATGTGTTTCGTTTTGTGTAGGAAGCTATTGTGTATCTGGTATGTGTTTCATTTTGTATGAGAAGCTATTGTGTAGCTGGCATGTGTTTTATTATGTGTGAGAAGCTATTGTGTAGCTTGTATGTGTTTCATTTTGTGAGAAGCTATTGTGTAGCTAATATGTGTTTCATTTTGTGTGAGAAGCTATTGTGTAACTGGTATGTATTTCATTTTGTGTAAGAAGCTATTGTGTAGCTGATATGTGTTTCATTTTGTGTGAGAAGTTATTGTGTAGCTTATATGGTCCATTTTGTGTGAGAAGGTATTGTGTAGCTGGTATGTGTTTTATTTTGTGTAAGAAGCTATTGTGTAGCTGGCATGTGTTTCGTTTTGTGTAAGAAGCTATTGTGTATCTGGTATGTGTTTCATTTTGTATGGGAAACTATTGTGCAGCTGGCATGTGTTTTATTTTGTGTAAGAAGCTATTGTGTAGCTGGCATGTGTTTTATTTTGTGTAAGAAGCTATTGTGTAACTGGTATGTATTTCATTTTGTGTGAGGAGCTATTGTGTAGCTGGCATGTATTTCATTTTGTGTAAGACGCTATTGTGTAGCTGGCATGTGTTTCATTTTGTGTAAGACGCTATTGTGTAGCTGGCATGTGTTTTATTTTGTGTAAGAAGCTATTGTGTAACTGGTATGTATTTCATTTTGTGTGAGAAGCTATTGTGTAGCTGATATGTGTTTCATTTTGTGTAAGAAGCTATTGTGTAGCTGGCAAGTGTTTCATTTTGTGAGAAGCTATTGTGTAGCTGGCATGTGTTTTATTTTGTGTAAGAAGCTATTGTGTAACTGGTATGTATTTCATTTTGTATGAGAAGCTATTGTGTTGCTGGTATGTATTTTATTTTGTGTAAGAAGCTATTGTGGAACTGGTATGTGTTTTATTTTGTGTGAGAAGCTATTGTGTAACTGGTATGTGTTTTATTTTGTGTGAGAAGCTGTTGTGCAGCTGATATGTTTCATTTTGTGTGAGAAGCTATTGTGTAGCTATTGTGTAGCTGGCATGTGTTTTATTTTGTGTAAGTAGCTATTGTGTAGCTGGCATGTGTTTCATTTTGTAGGAGAAGCTATTGTGTTGCTGGTATGTATTTCATTTTGTGTAAGAATCTATTGTGTAACTGGTATGTGTTTTATTTTGTGTGAGAAGCTATTGTGTAACTGGTATGTGTTATTTTGTGTGAGAAGCTGTTGTGCAGCTGATATGTTTCATTTTGTGTGAAAAGCTATTGTGTAACTGGCATGTGTTTCATTTTGCGTGAGAAGCTATTATGTTGCTGGTATTTGTTTCATTTTGTGTGAGAAGGTAATATGTTGCTGGTATGTGCTTCAATTTGCGTGAGAAGCTATTATGTTGCTGGTATGCGTTTCATTTTGTGTGAGAAGCTATTATGTATGTTGCTGGTGAGGAAGCTAGAAGCTATTATGTTGCTTGTATGTGTTTCATTTTGTGTGAGAAGCTATTATGTTGCTGGTATGTCTTTCATTTTGTGTGACAAGCTATTATGTTGCTGGTATGTGTTTCATTTTGTGTTAGAAGCTATTATGTTGCTGGTATGTGTTTCAGTTTGTGTGAGAAGATATTGTGTAGCTGGTATGTGTTTCAAGCTGTGTTTGTGGCTGTTGCGTGCGAAGTCGTGTTGTGTGTCAGGAGCAAATTGTGTAGGTGTTTGTGAGCCGAGGTGAAATGGGGTTTAACGTCGTACTTTAAAATATTTCGCTCATATGACGATGTGCATTCGTGTGTATGTGTGGCTGCTTGTACTAGCCCAGACTGAAGCTGGTTTTATAGTGCTAGCTCACTGAGATACCACGCCGCAGTTAAGCATGAATACCCCACTCGGACACATTACACTGACTCCGATCCAACCAGTCCTTGTTTTACCCATTAATGCCGAGCGCCAGCTAGGGACCAACAAGTACCATATTTTAACGCCTTTTGGTATGACGGGGCCGGTGATCGAACACGCGACCTTCGACAGGGGCGGTTAGGTGTTTGTGAGAATCTATTGTGTAGGTGTGTGTGAAACTATTGTGTAGGTGTGTGCGTAAGAACCTTTTGTGTAAGTGTGTGAGAAGCTATTGTGTAGGTGTTTGTGTGAAGCCATTGTGTATGTGAGTGTGGACCTATTGTGTAGGACTGTGTGAAGCTATTGTTTAGGTGTGTGCGTAAGAAGCTATTGTGTAGGTGTGTGTGTGAGAAGCTATTGTGTAGGTGTGTGTGTGAAGCTATTGTGTAGGTGTGTGAGAGAGAGAAGCTGTCGTGTAGGTGTGTGTGAGAAGCTATTGTGTAGGTGGGTGTGTGAAGCTATTGTGTAGGTGTGTGTGAGAAGCTATTGTGTAGGGTGTGTGTGTGAAGCTATTGTGTAGGTGGGTGTGTGAGAAGCTATTGTGTAGGTGTGTGTGAGATGCTATTGTGTAGGTGTGTGTGTGTGTGAAGCTATTGTGTAGATGTGTGAGAGAAGCTATTGTGTAGGTGTGTGAGAAGCTATTGTGTAGGTGTGTGTGAGATGCTATTGTGTAGGTGTGTTTGAGAAGCTATTGTGTAGGTGTGTTTGAGATGCTATTGTGTAGGTGTGTGTGAGATGCTATTGTGTAGGTGTGTTTGAGAAGCTATTGTGTAGCTGATATGTGTCATTTATGGAGTGTGATGTCAAGAAGGATTATGTGAATGAATAGTATGAGAGACACCTGATGTGATAAATAGTGTGAATGGCACGTGATAAATTATTATGAGAGACACAGACGTGATGAAATGGTGTGACTGACACATGATACATGATACATTAGAATAAAAATTCATGCATAATAAAATAATATGAAAGAGACACCTGTCATTTGAGATAATAGCGTGATATAATATATGGTGTAATATGATATGAAATGGCAGCTTGTTTTGGGCTGGAACGTTTATTTAGTGTTCGCAGCAAGCTAAATGATAGAAGAAAACCACTGTGATATCCAGACATTCCAAGATGAACTGAAAACGATCGAAATTGAAACTGTCCGATAGAGATCATTTTATACAACGGAGGCAAAGTCTGTTTGCTCAACACAAAATACGTACTGCTGCCTTCAACAAGTTATTGTCAAAAACAACAACTTTGCGTCACAGCTGCATTGGAATTATATTCATCTCAACGGATGACATGACAGTCGACTTGGTCACCGATAAATTGAGTGGAATGAACTGATTAATAAAAAACTAAAGAAAAAAAACAACAATCCAATAAAAACCCAACTTCATATATGCTCTGGTGAACTTCGAATCCCAGTTTGATTCACGATTGTGAATGAGCACCAAACCTCCTGCTTGTGGGTGCCACCAAAATGGTTAATGTCTGGAACCTAGATCCCATCTTTTTATGTCCCCCATGGGTTCTCACGATGGACACTATTAATTACAATCTATTCTTGGAAAGCTCTCTGGTTGGCTGTCAAGGAAAGACCAGGTCAGTACTTTGGGGACGACAAGAGTTTACCGTACATATTTACTCTGCCTAATGGTGTGATGGTTGATAGAATGTCCCCTGACCCAAGAGGCCATTGGACATATACCAGTTGAACGAATCTTTGGCTTCGAACTAAAACACATTTCCTATTTACTCTTGTGAGAGGTTAGGCATTCAGTTAGTAATTCGCTAAAAACTTGCTAAATCTATTTCAAGTGCTATGTAAATTTACAGTATTTACTTTATGGATAACAACTTGTTTATTGCACAGAGCGACGTTTCGGTGTACATTCATTTTGATAACATTGTAAGAATCTTGACCGAAAGGTCGCTCTGTGCAATAAACAAGAAGCTGTTATCCATAAATTCGTATGCTTGATTATTGACTCACCAGCTTATAGAATGCCATCAACCAATTATATTTACAATGATTTAACTTACATCCAGAAGTTATGAGAGAATGGTAAATTTAGGGAAAGGCGATAAAAGAAAGTGATTGTTTAAGAATTATTAAGAAGTAGGTACATGACGGAGAGTAAAGAAAATCCTGATGAAGCTGTTCGTGACTGATTATGGTGCAAGGTGAACCTCTATCTAGAATCGGGAGATAATTGACGTCAATCTGATCTAGGTGTAATGGATGCGAGCATTAGCTATGGAAATCTGGACTTACCGTGAAGGGAATCACAGAGCTGCCTCTGCCATCGTCGTGATTGAGCCGGAGTTTGCGATGACCGACCGTCCGCCTGAGAGTCTGTGGTGTCGTATGCCCCAGCAAGTGCCAATGAAGAGTGGTGACCTCTAGATGTGATTGAGAAACTGTCGGACAGCGATGGAGGGAGTCGAGATCGATGTAGAACCACCCTCTCCCTGGCTCCCCGCGCTCCTCTCAGTGCTAGTAATTACCGCCAGTCTTGGCGAAGAGATGTCGCCAGCTGCACGGCTCCGTATTGGAGCTCCCGATATTGCTCCTGCTCTGACGCCGGCTCAACCGTATCGACCGTACGATTCCAATAAACTCACGACAAAGTTGTCGTCCAAAAATTGACGACTAGGGGTTTAAAGAATGGGTTGCAATGTCAATTAGGCGAGAAGAATTGACGTGGTTCGATTAAATAGTTGTTAATAATGATAGCTTTGGATGCTGGAGCTGTCAGATTTTGGTGAGGTATGCACACAGTGGCGTCTTGGTTGCGAGCTGGCCGTATAATGACATCATGTGTCACAACCACGGTGGCAACGTGGACAGAAGCTGCGTGGGTGGCGCGGAATAGGTGTTTGTATCCTAACCTGGGGGGAGGGGAAGGCGTTGGGGATGGGGAGGTACTTAGGATGGTTCTTAGGGTGGTTAGGATGTGGGTTCTGGGGATGGTCAATTCTGTTTGGTTGCTGGAAGTTGGTTGGTTGGGATGGTTAATGAGTGGCGTTGGGTTTAATGGAGACGTAATGTTTGGTGATCTTGAGAACTGATGAAGGGCTTTTAGGGACGTTGGAACATGTGTTCTCATGAGAGATGGTGATGGGTGGAGAGAATGAGTGAAAGCTTTTGGGATAGAAGACGGAGGATGGGTTGTAAAGACGTAGGATGGGTTGTAGAGACGTAGGATGGGTTGTAAAGATGTAGGATGGGTTGTGGAGACAGAGGATTGATTGTAAAGACGTAGGATGGGTTGTGAAGGCTGAAGATTGGTTGTGCAGACGAAGGATTGGTTGTAAAGACGTAGGATGGGTTGTAAAGATGTAGGAGGGGTTGTAAAGAAGTGGGATGGGTTGTAAAGACGTAGGATGGGTTGTATAGACGTAGGATGGGTTGTGGAGACAGAGGATTGGTTGTAAAGACGTAGCATGGGCTGTGAAGGCTAAGGATTGGTTGTGGAGACGAAGGATGGATTGTAAAAACGAAGGATGAGTTGTAAAGATGTAGGATGGGTTGTAAAGAAGTGGGATGGGTTGTGAAGATGGATGATGGGTTGTATAGACGTATGATGGGTTGTAAAGACGTAGGATGGGTTGTGAAGGCTGAGGATTGGTTATGGAAATGTAGGATGGGTTGTGAAGGCTGAGGATTGGCTATGGAGATATAGGATGGGTTGCAAAGACCGGGGATGGGCTGTGAATCAGTGTAAGAGTTAAATTTTACGCCGTTTTTATAAATATTCCAGCAATATCACGGCTGGGGACACCAGAAATGGGCTTCACACATTGTACCCATGTGGGGAATCGAACCTGGGTCTTCGGCTTGACGAGCGGATACTTTAACCATTAGGCTACCCCACCGCACCAGGATGAGTTGCGAAGGCTGAGGATTGGTTGTGGAGACATAGGCTTGTTGTAAGGACGGGTGGTTGGTTTAGAAGACGGGGGACTGGTTGTGTGGAATACACATAGGCTGAGGAAACGGATGATAGTTTTAGTATAAATCTGAGATATGAGGTAACCTAAACATCACACGACCATGATTCGTGGTATAAAGCAATATAAAATTACAGATTTATTGGAGACATAACCGTACATTTCTGGACACTTGGAGATGCGAGGCATCCGACGATTACACAAGAAAGTAGTCCAAACACTGCACTACGCCTCCAGGCAGTCGGAACAGATGGTAGAGCTGTTGAGTCTGATGACGCTTCAGGACACACGTCCATTGAAGATGTCAGCCTTCTCCGCCACGGCAGTGTCTGCGGCGCCTACATCGTTGTAACGATTTACGACCGCTTCTACAGCGGCGCCGCTTCCTGGTATCAGAGCCCCGACTGTGGCCTCTCCTTCTTCCTCGCTCCTTCCGCCGTTTTCCACGCCACTTCCGCTTATGCCTCTTCCGGCGCCGACAGGAATCTGCAACAGTGGGACTTTAGGTTAGCGGGACCTACATCACTGTATCGGAACTAGATTCCAGTCCACAATCGGCTTGACCTACATCAACGTATCAACACGTTTCTACAGCCAGCGGGACATCCACTTTATATTTTAGTCGGAATCATATATTGGATTTCCTGAGTATATAAAAGTTTTTGTGGCTTTTATTTACATTCGTTCTCTAAAAAATTTACTTCAGTTATTCTTTATGTACAGACGGCATAACTACATCATCATCGAAACCCGTGAAGATCCGGGTTAGAACTGATCTTCAGCAACCCATGCTTGTCGTAAGAGGCGACTAACGGGATCGGGTGATCTGACTCGCTGACTTGGTTGACACGTTATCGTATCCCAGTAGCGTAGATCGATGTTCATGCTGTTGATCACCGGATTGTCTGGTCCAGACTTGATTATTTACAGACCGCCGCCATATAGCTGGACTATTGCTGAGTGCGGCGTAAAACAACACCGACTCACTCACATCCCCATCGCGGTGGTATATAGAAATACAATCAAATATCTTTGTGTCGAACTCAGATGGGTCGAACTTCCGGTTGTCTCGCAATAAAAGATTGTATGCTTCTTTATTCAGCCTTTTCCGGTTGTGTCGTACCTAAGCTAACTCGAAGTATTTACGTACGTGGGACCTTTCAACTTCGACTCGGTGTTGACCGTACAAGAGGCTTACCTCTACAAGCTCCGCGAGCACCTTGACACCCGCGTCGCTCTCGAAGAGGGGGACACGCAGTTCCCCCATTGGGTGACGGAGACTCCAGGATGCTCCTGGACCGTACACGAAACCGCCGCCGTTGGCCACATCCTCTTCCCCGTTGTCGGCATGCGCTCCACGTTGTCCACGGCCCCACGAGACAGTCCACTGTGGGAAGACGGGACACAATGTGATATAGGGTACCAATACAAACATGTTCACGAGTCTCCGGGCCGTGCCAAAGGCTGAATATGCCAGGAAATGTGGGTACATACGTGAGAACCACTTGGTGAAGTAACATGGAGTATAATGGACTGTGTGTTAGTATGAGAGTGCGTGAGTGTTACTGAGTGTGTCTTACTCTGTGCGTGTGTGTTTGTGTGTGTGTGTGTGTGTGTGTGTGAGAGAGAGAGAGAGAGAGAGAGAGAGAGAGAGAGAGAGAGAGAGAGAGAGAGAGAGAGAGAGAGAGAGAGAGAGAGAGAGAGAGAGAGAGAGAGAGAGAGAGAGAGTGTGTGTGTGTGTATCTGTCTCATTCTTTATAGTGCAGGGTTACCTTTCACAAAGCGTTCGTAATGTTACGACCTGTCGTAACTCTATAGTTTTTCATAGGCTTACAAATGTCGTAGCGCTACGACTGTTTTGTAGATCGGGACCCAGGATCACTGAGACGCCATCCTGCAGTCAAACATAGACTCTGTAGATCTATACCAGTGCAGGAAATAGCGCTTGCCAGGCGGTCCGCTGCCTGTTAGTGTTTGGCGGGCTTACAACTTTATTTTATTGCCAGCCCTGTGGGCAGTACATTTTCCAAGGGTATATATTTGATCATGTCATTGACTACGGGAAATATTTCGAAAATAATTTACAACTGTGGTAGCTAGACGACGTATGTATAGTTCATGATCAAACAAACCATAACTTCCACAGATCACTCATCCTACCCATTTATCTAACACTAAATGTGGTTGGTCTAGAGAATGCTATCAGCCAATGAACTATGTTGTTCTTTTCTAATAGTATGTAACAATCACACATCTTCGAATATTTCCGTGAGCAACATTGTCCGCCGTTAACAACGGACAACAAGATCACCCGAAGAGGTTGCGAATGATCAAATGTGGCGGCGCCCATAGTCAGGTCTGTGAGTGTTTAGGTCATAATGCTACGTAAATTCCTCCTACTCCCAGAACCTCTAAAACCCCCACAAGAAGTCGACAACAAACAACAAAAAAACAAGGAGTATGATGCGACAAAGAGGGAACGGATAATTGTCCCATCGTGGAAAGTAGAGTTTGACTGGCTTACAGTTGACGATAACAAGGGCAAAATGTATTGTCAAGTTTGCAGGTCTGCGTATGGTCCATTAGCAACACAACAAATACCATTTAAATTTCGTAAGAACACAAACGGTAGTTATGTATCTCGAAGCACAAATCTGAGACATGATGCCCTGGTAATCACCAACGCTCAGGACACAAAAATGACATTGAATGAAACAAAGATAAATCTACCAAGGCTGGGGGCAGTGTAGCGGAAAAGCCGTTGCAAACTTTAAATGCTTCTGCATTTAATAACTCTATTTGCTTTTGCACATGTTTAAGTTTACCTCACTACAAGTAGTTCATTAATTATATAATTGTAACACCTTATCTCAGTTTCCTATTTTTAATACAGGGCCTGTTACATGTCAACACGACCAGCAACATTTTTTAGTTATCAGCCCAGTGGGCTGCCTGGATTTTTAAGGAGTTTCAAACACTGTGTATACCCTGACTCAGACCTTATAGTTTTTATCCTATATGGCGTCTGTCAATGCCGAGTCTCCAGGCATTCCAGTGAAACAACAAGTGCGCAATTGGGAACATCTTCACGAGGACTTCTTAGTCGCATTTACGAACTACCGATATTCAGACTTTCTAAGGATCAATACGGTATGCGGAGACAGGGAAACAACAAATATCTCACGACACTTCACTCCGATATTCTCACTCAAACTTTGAAGAAACGAAAAAACGAAAATACTAACCTCTACTTCTACACTCTGACGAGTAGTTGGCGAGGTGCAGGCCGGTGGGGCAGGAGTCGATGCAGTCGCCCCTGTGTGCTATGCGTGGTCGGTAACATCGCGTGCAGTACTGGCGCGTAAAGCAGGATCGGCAGTGATTTACTTGACACTCTGGGAAAATAATTTCATATTTAAATATGTCCAGATCAAGTCAATATTCTGAAAGGCAGCCGTTTACACGTACTACCGGCCTTAACACCGATAAACATACAGATAGAGGCACACTAGCTTGAGACTATGATCCCAGGTGCACACATGAAGGTAGGCATCCAGGTACATACAGGTAGATCGCACATACAGGTACACCTAACGACCAGGTACATACAGTTAGACCTTCACATAGATACAGGCCTCAAAGTGCATACAAGTAGACCTCACGTCGAGGCACATACAGGCACATACACCTTAACATACACCAAGGTGGACCTCCAGGTGTATATAAGTATTACATACATACAGGCGGACCTTCAGATGGTAGACTTCACAATCAGCTACATACAGGCAGACCTCCAGTTATATTCCTGTACAACTCATGCAGGTAAACCTCGACGTACATACAGATAGACATAATATATACAGGTGGGTCTTAATATACATGCTGGTGTGAGTGAGTGAGTGAGTTTAGCAATATTCCAGCTATATGGCGGCGGTCTGTAAATAACCGAGTTTGGATCAGACAATCCAGTGATCAACGGCATGAGCATCGATCTACGCAAATTGGATACGATCACATGTGCCAATCAATCAACCACCTGATCCCGTTAGTCGCCACATACGACAAGCATGGGTTAGCCTACTATGTGTTGGCCTACTCAAGGTGACCGCCTCCGTGGTGTAGTGGTTAGAGCGTCCGCCCGGAGAGCGGAAGGTCGTGGGTTCGATCCCCGGTCGCGTCATACCAAAAGACGTTAAAATTTGGTACTTGTTGGTCCCTGCCTGGCGCTCGGCATTAATGGCTACATCAAGGACTGGTCGGCTCGGAGTCAGTATAATGTGTCTGAGTGGGGTATTCATGCTTTACTGCGGCATGGTATCTCAGTGGGCTAGCACTATAAAACCAGCTTCAGTCTGGGCTAGTACAAGCAGCCGCACATACACATACACACGCATGCACGTCGTCATATGAGCGAAATATTCTCCAGCGCGACGTTAAACCCAATTTCACCTCGCCTCACCTACTCAAGGTCAATTCTAACCCGGATCTTCACGGGTCTCACATATATACAGGTGGACCCCCTGACAGGTTTACAGGTCACAAGGTCACAGAAGTGGATTTACAGGTACATGTAGGTTGGTTTACAAGTCAGAGGTGGATTTACAGGTACATGTAGGTTGGTCTACAAGTCAGAGGTGGATTTACAGGTACATGTATAAGTAGATACAGGTTACTTTGAGATATTATTTCCAGGCAGGTGTCTGGCGATTCTTCCACGAGCAACTTACTGACGCATCTGTTGTGGAAGTGTTGACGGACGCCAAAGTAGCCCGGGGGACAGCTAGGTGTGCACATGCCAGTCTGGCGCATGTTCCGGCGGTACAGGAACAGGAAGTAACGTCTCTCGCACGTCAAACAGCCGTTGACAGCAGAACATGACGTACAGCCTCGAGGACACATAGGGTAGCGTCCGATCACAGCTGAAACACACCAGTAATCAGGTTATGTCACAAGGTTTCAACCTTTACTCACTGAGATCCCAATAACGTGCCCCCACAGAGTTGCGTCCCTTGGCACGGCAGGAAACTATGATCATGGTTCGGACCGCAGTTCGCCTTGATTACGTTTCTAGGTTTGTCAGCAACATAACTCGTGGACTTCGTCACAGTGGTAAACGTCTTAGACCAGCATCAACCCAACTCTCTTACTCACTTTATTGCAATATCCCTGATACGTGAGTTTTTAAATACAAATCCAACATCCAACGTTCTACCCCGTCGGGAACGTTGGACCTAAGTAGCTCAGGGCCTAAATCCCGAATCCACACACTGGATATGAAACCAGAGTTCGTGGACTCCAAACCCAGATTAAATCAAACAGTTTGATGGACAAATTGTGTTTTGTGGGTAAAAGCTCGAAATACATGTGGTCATGCCACCCACATTACTTATCAACGGTTTAATAGAAACCCATTTAAAATATTCAAGATGGCCAGCCATTTCCACGATGGCAACTGTTTTCGGCAATAAAATCTCGTTTAAATAGTCAAAACATCTATAGAAGGAATGATTAACAGGACACTACTGGTTTGCAACATGGGAACTTATTGCAAATGGCCCCTAACTTCAAAGGATCGTCCTGACTTAAAATACACGATCTAAATGTGATTGTGATCGGCTGTTTGTTGTTACCGAGCCTGATTGTTTGTTCCACAGCACACCTATATGACCTTGGATATTTGGTTCTCGTCTGTCGCCCAATCGTTAATCCTTGAAGCAGTTCCGACTGTTACTTCTCTTAAACTCTTCTCAATCGATGTTTCATTTAAAACCATTCTGCTTCAAACCTTTTGATCACGTCGCGATGGAATTCGGACAACTTTTTTTAAAGTACGCCCAAGTCCACATTCTTTCTCCTTCATCGTCACTATACATCTTCTTTTCAACTATTTATGATACCTCCGCACTTTACTTTGAATACAGTCAAACAGGTCCCAATTTCAGCCATGAGTAAAAGGTCTGGGAAATCAATTGCATATTCAATGAAGTTAGCATTATGTCTTTAAGACGGGATCAGGCTTCTTTTTCTGTGATTAATGGCTTTGATCTATGTAAAAACAACATTTGTGATTGATTCTTTTATTGATTATTTTTGGACCAAAACGTTTTTATTTCGATTCCCCTTTATTCAAATGGTGGAATTCCTTTGATTCTCGTTTGCTTGTTTGGAATTGCGGACAGCTACAAGGACTGTAACACATATATTCTAATATTAAACATATTTGTCATGCCATAATATACCTTAGTGCTAATTAATTTTGTAAAGAAATATAGAACGTCAATGCCAGAGAATAACCAGTCTCGATAATACGCCTAAACAGATTCTATTGTGGGTTAGGGTCAAATTAGCAGTTAGAATTACATGAATGGATCATTGAAAATATTGATGACACCGGGAATTATGAGTTATGTCCATGCTCAACCAGAAGTTGGTCGTCATCAACTACCATTTCCTTGATAGACAGTCGATCCCGATAGAGAGTGAGTCCCAAACTTTGTAAGATTTTGATATTTCCAAGTAGTAAATGTTTATGAAATCGACTTGTCTTATAAGCTGAATGGTCATGGATTATAACCTCTATATCATTTCGTCATGACACATTATATTTTATTTACATTTGAAGCATTTCTTGACAGCTCTTTCGGCGCGAATCGGAAAAGCCGAGAAATCGACCACTTTCGATGTCTTTACAACATTATCAATTGAATTCATTTCACGTATTGAGCATTTTTAGGCTAAAAGACGTTATGTAGCCGCTGTGTCAAAATTTTAACTTCTGTTAAAACATGCAATCTTAGATATTAACGAAAACAATAACTGTACGCGCTGATGGTAGTTGCTTCATCACTGTACGGGTTGTTGGTTTCTTCACCCTCAAAACTGACTTGGTAGGTACAGCTATCGAATTCTGATTCGTTCCCTTTCCCTCTAATGTAGGTCACTATTACAACGAAAGGCTATACTGAGATGATCTGTTCGTTTGCTTTCAATCATGGGGGGAAGTTTCCATTGTTATTATTGCGCGAAGAAATCAGAATTTTGTAACATTTGTGTAACCACCATCCACATTATGTCATCAAGTTTTGCCAAAGGATGTCTGACATTGACTGTAAAAAAATAAATCTTTAAACCAAAACATTTTAAAATATAATAATTCCTTTAGAAATCCAAAACTGTGGCACCCATTTACAGTGACCTTGAGGGTTGAAGATATAGGGCCCCCGTCAAAAAAGAAACAGAAGGTTGATGAGAATAACACTGACCACGACGTTGCGCGCAGCAACACCAGCAGTCGCTGCGAAACAGTTGTTGATACAGAGGAGGATGCCCCGCCGAGGTCACTGAACCTCTTCCAGGTGTCATTTCAGTATTGAAAGAATCGGGGCGCCTTCCCAGGTTGTAGATTGGTAACGTCATGACACAACGTTGTCACAACGTTTGTACATATTTGGCCTTTTTATAACGTTGCAAATTTACGTTCAGGAAACGTTATGCTTAGGGCTCCTCACAACGTAATAACAACGTTTCTTATAACTTGGTGTCACAGAGTTTTCTGCAAAACCTTTCAGATTCTTTCTTTACTGTTCAGCTACAACTTCAGAAAACCTGCGACCAAAACAACATGCAAATTGACGAATAAACATTGAAGTGAATTTCATCACTGGAGAAACTTTTCAACTATTAACGTTAAAAAGAACGTAAGACAAATATGTCATTCAATACACAAGCTGCATGCTTCAAACCAAGGTCCTACCTCAGTTGATAAATAACACGAAACCAACTACCCGTACAGTACCTTTTCAACAACCCGTACAGTTGATTTGTTTACATGAGCAACTACCATCGGCGCGTACAGTTATTGTTTTCGTTAATGCCTCAGTTTGTATGTTTTGACAGAAGTTAAAATTTTGACACAGCGGCTACATAACCTCATTTAGCCTAAAAATGCTCAATACGTGAAATGAATTCAATTGATTTTGTTGTAAAGACGTCGAAAGTGGTCAATTTCTCGGCTTTTCCGATTCGCACCGAAAGACGTGTCAAGACATGCTTAAAATGTAAGCACAATATAATGTGTCATGACGAAATGATATAGAGGTTATAATCCGTGACCATTCAGTTATAAGACAAGTCGATTTCATAAACATTTACTACTTGGAAATATCAAAATCTTACAAAGTTTGGGACTCACTCTCTATCGGGATCGACTGTCTATCGAGGAAATGGTAGTTGATGACGACCAAGTTCCGGTTGAGCATGGACAGGGCTTACCCCCTGTGTTACCTGTAGACAGACGGAAGTCCCAGGGATATGGGGGAAAGGAGTGATGGGTAATTATTACAAATGTTAAATTGGGAATTTAACTGTCCATACTACTTGGAAATATCAAAATCTTACAAAGTTTGGGACTCACACTCTAGCTGGATAAAAATTCCAATTCAGCCATTCTAACTGAAGACCATGTGCTTAGCTGTCTTATATTGTTTTATATTCCAAGTGAATGTCTTGTTTTACTGGTTGAAAATATTGCGATTGGTATGTGTTCTTAAGTGCAATATTGTGTACTTCGGTTTACTTCCCAAGAAACGAAGCAGCCGGGATACCGAACCCAGTCAGAGCGGGTGGGTGTGCACTCAAGTGTAACGGCTGGTTCATTTGCAGATGCCCTCACGGGTCATTGTGTGTGTATATATAGAGATGTTGGGTTTTGTAAATACATGCTCATTTTTTGTGTATAACATTTTGCAATCAGCAGACATCATAACATGTCATGTGTTCAAGTATCACACCTGCCTGTCTGTGTAATTACATAATGTGACAGAGACCGAACTCGGGCCATAAATCAATGCATTTTGTTTATGGTGTATAGCCTGATTGGTGTTAAGTTCAAATTGCATGTGGTCAGTGATAGCAGCTGTGTATTGAATATTGTCATTAGCAGACAGGCAGGCAGACACACAGGTGTCAATAAAACAAGACTTTGAGTTTAGTCTGTGACAACGACATATCTATATCACAGTTAGAAATTCTGTCCACGCTAAATAATGACATTGCTTTTAAGTATCGAACTGAGAAAGTGACTCGATAAGAAGAACGTGTGGTGAAATAGACAAATGAAATTATATAAACAGTTAATTTACTGTCATAACATATAAAAAGCTCGCGCCTGTGAGATATCAACAAAACATTAGAAAAATAGCTCACACCAAAGCCTTCACCGAGTATTCACCGGACAACAGCTTCCAAGCTGCGCGAACCTACTTCACTGCGCACGTGCTATAAGCGCAGCCCAGCTGTTGAAACCCGTTTTCCCCAGAAAAGTCGGGGGAAAATTAGTGAAACGTTTGAACTCCGATTTCGCGCGTTTTTTTTCATCGCGTTATTTTTCAACTTTATAAGTTGAATTTGCATTTTTGATGATTTGTTTCGGTAAGTCCATACCGAAAGGTATCAGAATCTGCAAAGTTGTGTTTTACGTTGCATGTGACCTTTAAGCTTCTAAAGTAGTGGCCTTGATCTTTCACGGCAACCATTTACAATCACAAGACACAAATATTCCGAGAAGCCAACAGGTCCTGTTTCAAGTAAGAAGACTGTTTTTGTGCGCATACAGTCGAGGGGCCTTGGAGGCATGGCTAAACTACAGGCGTGACTCATGTCTGAAGTAATCATTGAAACACTCGGCTGGCGTTCACACTTAAGTGGTTATAAAACTTGAACCTTAGACTGGAGATGTTGAACTGTTAAGACCCTTTATAGCACTTGAAGGAAAACTATCTCTTTCTGGTATCTTCTTAAACAACAACAACAACAACAACAACAACAACAACAACAACAACAACAACAACGACACTGTTACAACAACTAGAAGTTGTATGGACACAATGGGACCTGAAACAACATTTAACACCAACAACCTCAGCACAACAACACCCCTGTTACAACACTTAGAGGTTGTATGGGGTCAATGGGACCTGAAACAACATTAAGAAGTTGTTTTCGGGGTTCAGTGTCAGACCTGGTACCCGGTAACATATGCTTTTCGTAAGAGGTTATATAATGTATCGAGTGGTCATCCCCTGTAGCTTGGCTGATGGTATATCACCGTTGTCATAATACTAACCATTGGTTCCCATGGTAGAGATCGACGTCACATAGCTGAAATATTGCTGGGTGCGGCGTAAAACAACAAACAAACGGACTCTTTTGAATGACCTGACATTACGGAGATGAACTGACTTCATCAGATGTGACACAACAGATATGCGCTGACTTCAGATGAACTGACCTCATCAGATGTGCCACAACAGATATGCCTTGCCTTCATTTGAATTAACACTACAGATATGCATAGATGTCATCGGACCAAACAATAATTATATACAGAGATATACTGACCTGACAAACGATATATGTACATATATATATAGAGAGAGAAAGAGATCTATATTTACTTACTTCGCCTTGTTCTTACTTGAGGAGTGTCCACCTTCAGTATGTTCGTACTCTGGCCCGGATCTCCAAGTCTCCATGTCTGGGACCCAGAGGTTGATATCCAAGCTGGGTCTGCCATCATGTTTGTGACAATGTCGTGGTCGTCGACGATGTATGTATCCCTCTTCCCCCGGGTCAACTGACTTGATTTACCCTTGTCATGGATCATTAGATGTCCCAATGTCTGTCTCTCCTGCACCCGATGTCCAAGTACGTCTGTCTGACCCCCCTCCACCAGATGTCCCAGTGGGTCTCTCTGTCCCTCTTCCACCACATGTCCCAGTGGGTCTTTCTGTCCCTTCTCTACCAGATGTCCCAATGGGTCTCTCTGTCCCACTTCAACTAATTGTCCCAGTGGGTCTGTCTGTCCCTCCTCCACCAATTGTCCCAGTGGATCTGTCTGTCCCTCCTCCACCAATTGTCCCAGTGGGTCTCTCTGTCCCATTTCAACCAATTGTCCCAGTGGGTCTGTCTGTCCCTCCTCCACCAATTGTCCCAGTGGTTCTGTATGTCCCTCCTCCGCCAGATGTCCCATAGGGCCTCTCCGCACCTCCTCCACCAGACGTCCCAAGGTGTCTGCCTGCAGCACCTCCACCAGACGTCCCAAGGTGTCTGCCTGCAGCACCTCCACCAGACGTCCCAAGGTGTCTGCCTGCACCACCTCCACCAGACGTCCCAAGGCGTCTGTCTGTTCCTCCTCCACCAGACGTCCCAAGGTGTCTGTCTGTCCCAGAACGGTCAGATGTACACACACAACAGCTAGCAGTAAGTGCATAACGAGACCCCAGGGTCACTCGCGAGCCCCTTGGGTAGAACCGAACACTCAGGTCATTTACCTTCCTTCAAACTCCAAACAGGTAAGCTAGGCACATGACGGTAATGACATCAGCTGTAGCGTGTGAAGTGATACTCCAGTCGTACACATAATCACCCTCAGCTTCACGGCTCTGAGTGTGCCAGGAGTGAGGCCGGGACACCAGATTGACTGTGACAGCCCGCATACCCGACTAACGTCGTCACTCTTGCTTTTAGCATTTTTCGCATAAGACATATTTATAATCGACACATCTTTCATGCACGATCGCAGATGGGATAAGTCGAACCCCGTTCCGTGTCTAAAGGTAAGACAATTGGTTACAGGCAGTCTGAATGAAGGTATGTTAGGGATGAAGTGATGTGTTGAAGTGAGGCGAGGTGTTAGGTAGATCCAACTTTATAAAACGTAAACGGGATTTGGGATTGTTCATAAGTTGTTCGTGAATAGGAATTCCCCTTTAGGCATATTTGGGGGGTTCGGTTATGAAGGCGTTGGGAAAATTTGAACAGTTTTAAAAGTTTGGATTCTGAAAGTTGAGAGGATACAATGGCCCCATTGCCTTAATTCAGTTCTCTGAGCACACGCCAACAACTTCATCATCCTCAAGGGTCTCTTCTAGCTGCACACTCTTCCACTGCCGACTTGTACAAAGTATATCGTGGTGGGCCTCTTGGCAGCCAGAGAGAACTTAAACAACACTGATTCGTTCATATTTCTATAGCTAACGTGTCATCGAGCATTCTTAAACCTCTCTTGAGAAGTATATATTTGAAAGATTTAACAACTGTAATATGGAAGAAGTTTGGGTTCTTCAAGTTCTGTTTAGTTGTGTATATCTTGTGTTACAATTCCGCTGTCAGAAACATGCTTCCTCCTTTTTGAACGTGTGTGTGTGTGTGTGTGTGTGTGTGTGTGTGTGTGTGTGTAAATTTGTGTGTGTGTATGACTAATGGGTGTGTGTCAAATCAAAAGTCTGTGTGTGTGTGTGTGTGTGTGTGTGTGTGTGTGTGTGTGTGTTTTTGTTTCCAGGTACGAGCTTATAAATTTATACAGTTTATGACTAATGGTTGGGGCATCCAGATCCAAGGTCTGTAGCTTACAATATAGTGTTACTGGGTATCTAAATATGGGCTTTTATATTCCTTGTATTCAAGGGTAATTATTGTGTTGAACATAATGTTTCCAGATACAGGGTAAATTGTGTTATGGGGTATCCAGGGGCGGTGGGTATTGTAGAATATTTAGGCAGATTATGTTATGTGGGATTCAGATACGGAGTATATTGTGTTACAGGATATCTGGACATTGGGTATGTTGTGTCATTGGGTATCGAGATACGGGTATGTTGTGTTATAGGGTATCCAGATACGGGTTATGCTGTGTTATAGGGTATCCAAATATGGGGTATGCTGCGTTATAGGGTTTCCAGATAAGGGGTATGCTGTGTTATACGGTATCCAAATATTGGGTATGCTGTGTTACAGGGTATCCAGATAAGCGTATGCTGTGTTCTAAGTTACAGATATGGATATGTTGTTATGAGTTACACGGGTATGCTGTCTTATAAGTTACAGACACGGGTATGTTGTGTTATAGGGTATCCAGATACGGGGTATGCTGCGTTATACGGTATCCAAATATTGGGTATTCTGTGTTATAGGGTATCCAGATACGGGGTATGCTGCGTTATAGGGTATCCAGATAAGGGGTATGTTGTGTTATAGGGTATCCAGATACGGGGCATGCTGTGTTTTAAGTTACAGATATGGGTATGTTGTTATGAGTTACACGGGTATGCTGTCTTATCAGTTACAGATACTGGGTATAATGTGTTATAGGGTATCCAGATACTGGGTATGCTGCGTTATAGTGTATCCAGATAAGGGGTATGCTGCGTTATAGTGTATCCAGATACGGGGTATGCTGCGTTATAGGGTATCCAGATACGGGTACTTATACGGTATGTTTTGTTTTCTATATTCGGCATCTACACACGGAGTTGCTGGTATATATCTTCACTAGCCGCGGGCAGAAGGTTGTAGATGGGCGGTAATAACACGCTTATCTGATGTGGTCTCAGGACTCGCCTCTCTACCAGCCCCCACTCGACCCCTCAGGCAGGTATACACGCTGTCATTAAATAAACCAGTGGGAAAACAGTGATCACTGCAGCAGGCGGGGAGACTAACACGACCAATCTGGGAGATACGTTTGAGACAATTACAAACTGATTCAACACTGGATTTTAGTCTCAGTTGATATCTACAAGGCTTACAATCTTAACTCTGAATAGCGTGCAGAAGATGGAACAACTTATATATCGGTGCTTGTGTACAAGGTATAGACTCTAGGGTCTCAGGTACACGTAATAGGTACGCTAATTACTTTAAGAATCAGTGGTATGTGCATAGTATAACACTTTAAGTATCAGTGGTATGTGCATAGTATAACACCTTAAGTACCAGTGGTATGTACATAGTATAACACCTTAAGTATCAGTGGTATGTGCATAGTATAACACTTTCAGTATCAGTGGTATGTACATAGTATAACACTTTAAGTATCAGTGGTATGGACATAGTATAACACCTTAAGTATCAGTGGTATGAACATAGTATAACACCTTAAGTATCAGTGGTATGTGCATAGTATAACACCTTAAGTATCAGTGGTATGAACATAGTATAACACTTTAAGTATCAGTGGTATGTGCATAGTATAACACTTAAAGTATCAGTGGTATGTACATAAGTATAACACCACCTTAAGTATCAGTGGTATGGACATAGTATAACACCTTAAGTATCAGTGGTATGGACATAGTATAACACTTTAAGTATCAGTGGTATGGACATAGTATAACATAACATCAGTGGTATGGACATAAAGTATCAGTGGTATGTACATAGTATAACACCTTAAGTATCAGTGGTATGGACATAGTATAACACCTTAAGTATCAGTGGTATGGACATAGTATAACACCTTAAGTATCAGTGGTATGGACATAGTATAACACCTTAAGTATCAGTGGTAAGTATAACACCTTAAGTATCAGTGGTATGAACATAGTATAACACTTTAACTATCAGTGGTATGTACATAGTATAACACATTAGGTATCAGTGGTGTGTACATAGTATAACACCTTAAGTATCAGTGGTATGGACATAGTATAACACCTTATGTGTCCGTGGTATGTACATAGTATAACACCTTAAGTCTCACTGGTATGGACATAGTATAACACCTTCAGTATCAGTGGTATGTACATAGTGTAACACCTTAAGTATCAGTGGTATGTACACAGTATAACACATTAGGTATCAGTGGTGTGAACATAGTATAACACCTTAAGTATCAGTGGTATGGACATAGTGAAACACCTTAAGTATCAGTGGTATGTACATAGTATAACACATTAGGTATCAGTGGTATGAACATAGTATAACACCTTAAGTATCAGTGGTATGAACATAGTATAACACCTTAAGTATCAGTGGTGTGTACATAGTATAACACCTTAAGTCTCACTGGCATGTACATAGTATAACATTTTAAGACTTTAAGTATCAGTGGTATGAACATAGTATAACACTTTAAGTATCAGTGGTATGTACATAGTATAACACTTTAAGTATCAGTGGCATAAACATAGTATAACGCCTTAAGTCTCACTGGCATGTACATAGTATAACACTTTAAGTATCAGTGGTATGAACATAGTATAACACTTTAAGTATCAGTGGTATGTGCATAGTATGACACCTTAAGTATCAGTGGTATGAACATAGTATAACACCTTAAGTATCAGTGGTATGAACATAGTATAACACTTTAAGACTTTAAGTATCAGTGGTATGAACATAGTATAACACTTTAAGTATCAGTGGTATGGACATAGTGAAACACCTTAAGTATCAGTGGTATGTGCATAGTATAACACCTTAAGTATCAGTGGTATGTACATAGTATAACACTTTAAGTATCAGTGGCATAAACATAGTATAACGCCTTAAGTCTCACTGGCATGTACATATTATAACACTTTAAGTATCAGTGGTATGAACATAGTATAACACTTTAAGTATCAGTGGTATGTGCATAGTATGACACCTTAAGTATCAGTGGTATGAACATAGTATAACACCTTAAGTACCAGTGGTATGAACATAGTATAACACTTTAAGTATCAGTGGTATGGACATAGTGAAACACCTTAAGTATCAGTGGTATGAACATAGTATAACAGCTTAAGTATCAGTGGTATGTACATAATATAACACCTTAAGACTCAGTGGTATGTACATAATATAACACTTTAAGTATCAGTGGTATGAACATAGTATAACACCTTAAGTATCAGTGGTATGTGCATAGTATAACACCTTAAGTATCAGTGGTATGTACATAGTATAACACTTTAACTGATAGTGGTATGTGCATAGTATAACACTTTAAGTATCAGTGGTATGTGCATAGTATAACACCTTAAGTATCAGTGGTATGTACATAGTATAACACCTTAAGTCTCACTGGTATGTACATAGTATAACACCTTAAGTCTCACTGGTATGGACATAGTATAACACCTTAAGTCTCACTGGTATGTACATAGTGTAACACCTTAAGTATCAGTGGCATGTACATAGTATAACACCTTAAGTCTCACTGGTATGTACATAGAATAACACCTTAAGTCTCACTGGTATGGATATAGTATAACACCTTAGGTCTCAGTGGTATGAACATAGTATAACACCTTAAGTATCAGTTGTTAATATGAATACAACGTATACCATCTTACGTCCCCGTGGATGTGTACAGAATATCACAAGGAACGAAACCTTTGTCTCAGTGGTTGTGTGGTACATCTAGTACACGGTAGCATATTTGTCTCAGTGACTGTATGGCACAAAGTATAACACCTTTGTCTCAACTGTTATGTACCACAATACATTGTGTATAATGTGTTGTTGCTAAGCAGTACAAGATATGAAGGTTGACTGATTGGTTCTGGTCCGGTTCCGTACAAACAACACCTTGCGTAATAGTATAATCT